ACCTTCACATCGTCTAGTCTCAGGGAGATTTAAAAATCCTGCAGCCCAGGCTATCCCCCATACTAATTAAATCAGAATCACTGGCTGCATGATACTCAGGTGTCTGTGGTTTTTAAAACTCCCCAGGTGATTTCAATACACAGCCAGGTTTGCTAGCCAGTCCTTTAGCAATTTACAAGTAAAGAAACAGGCCCAGGGAGGGAAGAGGATTTGCCTAAGGTCCCACAGCAAGTTGGGACTCTGCCAGAGTTAGCCTCCTAAAGCCTCACTCTGATCATGCTAGTTCCCTACCCCCAAATCTATAGTGATCATCTGACAAAGATGAAAAGGACAGGAAAGGAAAACACAATAATACACAGTTTGGGGAAGGATATGATGAGGATATTCATCAGTCTCATTTATAAAAGTGGGGATAAAAGGGAAACAAACATTCATCAAGAGAGGGTTGCTCAAATAAATGATGGTTCAGCTTTATAATCGAACATGGGCAGCTGTACAATGATGGTGCGAATTGTCAGTTCCAGGCTGGAAAATATGCCATGACACAATATTGAGTAGACAAAACCTAGTGACAAAATGGGTCATATTTATGTAAAGTTACCTCTATTTCCCATATACATACATGTGCACTGAAAGGCCTGGGAGCATATTGGTGGTGGTGGAATTTGGGGGAGTTTTTGTTTTCTTCTTTGTATCTTCCTGTTTTGTTTGTGTTCTGTTGTATCTTACTGTGTTGTTTGAGTTTTATGTACAATAAGATATTAAAAAGTAAATATAATCTTAAAGAGGTTTGAAAAGACAGAGAAGGCAAGCTAACATCATATTTAATGATTAAAGACATTCCCCCTCAGAGCAGGAACGAGACAAGAAAATCGTCTTGGCTGTCAATTATGTAAGAAAAAGAAAGAAAAGTCACCATATTGGAAAGGAAGAAGCAAAACTATTCCTACTTGCAGATGACACAATACTGTATCTAGAAAATCCTAAGGAATCCACAAAAAACTATTGGCGCTATTAAACGAGTTCAGCAAGCTTGCAGGGTGTAAGATCGATATACAAAACCCAGCTGTGTTTCTATACACTAGCCATGAACAATCCAAAAATACAATTAAGACAATAATTCCATTTACAATAACATAAAAATATTTAGGAATAAATTTAATAAAAGAAGTAAAGACTTGCACGCTGAAAGCTATACCACAGCATTGTACATTAAGGAAGACCTGAATAAACATAAAAACATCCCATATTCACGGATCAGAAGACTTAATATTGCTAAGATGGCAAGACTGCCAAATTGATCTAAAGAAGCAGCAAGCAGAAACACATAACCACCTCCAATCACTTCCCACTGCCAATAACTGCTGCCATTTATTGAGAGCTTACTATGTTCCCAATGCCTTGTGCGCAACTTGCAGGGTCTCAATTCATTCAATAACCCAACAGGATAAGCCCCGCCTCCTCTTCAGCCTGGCACTCCAAGTGCTGCAGTTTAGTCCTTGCCTTTATTTCCTCTCTCAGTCTTTACTCAGCCTGGTTACCCCAGGGATGGGGAGTCTGGTACCTGGTACCTTGTGCAGGCAGAGGTCTATTTCTAAATGTTCATGTGCCCTCCTGCCTCCATGTGAATGCCCCTACCCTCTCGTACCCACCTGTTGGTGTATCCTTAGTGCTTTAATAGCCATCACAAATGCCCCCTTCCCCACGAGACCTTTCCTGATCCTTACCCCTGGAAACCATCCTTCCCCACTGGACACTCAAGTGGCCCACTGTATGTCCCTCTCTACTCCCGGCCCAGTCCGTCTGCATTACTGGGTCACCTGCCTCCACACTGTCTCTCCAAATAGACCTGTGTTGTTCAGTACAGCAGCCACCAGCGGCATATGGCTCTTTAACTTTAAATCTTTTTTAACTGACATAACATTAGTTTCAGGTATACAATATAATGATTCGATATTTGTATACATCGTGAAATGATCACCACAATAAGTCTAGTTAACATCCATCCCCATACACAGTTATCAATACAAAAAAGTGGGGTTTTTCTTACAATGAGGACTTTTAAGATTTACTGTCTTGGCAGCTTTCAAATATGCAATACAGCATTATTAACTATAGTCAGCATGCTGTACATTACACCCCCATGCCTTATGTATTACTGGAAGTTTGTACCTTTTGACTTCCCTCACCCATTTCACCCACTCCTTACCTCCCACCTCTGGCAACCACTAATCTGTTCTCTGTATCTATGAGCTTGGTTGGTTTTGCCTTTTGTTTTTTCTTAGATTCCACATATAACTGAGATCATATAGTATCTGTTTTTCTCTGTCTGACTTATTTTACATCACATAATACCCTCTAGGTCCATCCATGTTGTCACAAATGGCAAGATTTCATTCTTTTTTTATGGCTAAATAATATTCCATTGTATATACCACATTTGCTTTCATTCCATTCATCCATCAATGGACACTTAGGTTGTTTCTATGTCTCGCCTATTATAAATAATGCTGCAATGAAATGGGGATACATATATCTTTTTGAATTTGTGTTTTCATTTCCTTCCGATAAATACCCAGAAATGAAATTGCTGGATCATATGGTAGTTCTATTTTTAATTTTTTCAGGAATAGCCATACTGTTTTCCATAGTGACTACACCAATTTACATTCCCACCAATGGTGCACAAGGTTCCCTTTTCTCCACATCCTTGCCAACACTTGTTAATTCTTACCTTTTGATAATAGCCGTTCTAACTGTGTGAGGTGGTAGCTCATTGTGGTTTGATTTGCATTTCCCTGATGATAAGTGATGTTGAGCAACTTTTTATGTACCTGTTGGTCATCTGTATGTCTTCTTATTCAGATCCTCTGCCCACTTTTTAATCAGATTGTTTGGGTTTTTTTAAACTTTAAATTTAAGTAATTAAAATTAAATAAAATTTATGTGGAATCTAAAAAATAATACAAATGAATATATATAGCAAAACAGAAACAGACGCACAGATATAGAAAACAAACTAGTGGTTATCAGAGGGGAGAGGGAAGTGGGGAGGAGCAAGATAGGAATAGGCGATTAAGAGGTAAAAACTACTATGTATAAAACAGATAAGCAAAAAGGATATATTGTATAGCACAGGGAATTATAGCCATTATCTTGTAATAACTTATAATGGAGTATAATCTATAAAAATACTGAATCATATTATACTGGAGTGTAGTTGATTAAAAATGTTGTGTTGGTTTCAGGTGTGCATCGGGGTGGTTCACTTATACATGTGCGTGTATCTATTCTTTTTCAAATTCTTTTCCCATTTAGGTTATTACAGAGTGTTGAGTGGAGTTCCCTGTGCTATACAGTAGGTCCTTGTTCCTTATCTATTTTAAATATAGCAGTGTACAGGCAGTGTACTTTAAGGCACCACACCGTAGGATGTTTAAAAGAAACAAAAACGGACTTTGCCCTTGGGTTATTCTCTTTCAAGGCAAACAGGGAATAATAGGTTATACATATTTATCTTTGTTATAAACACACACGCGTGCCCGCACACACACACGCGCACACACACACACACAAACCCATCTGTTTGGATATACAGATGTTTTCCTAGGCCAAAATTTTAAGAAGAACTGATTGCTAAAGTTTTTGAGTGTGAAAGTGGGCAAGATTTTCAACTGTATTATTATAGAATGTATAGAAATAAAATCCAGTCTAGAAAAAAAATACTGAATCACTATGTTGTACACCTGAAAGTAATATAATGTTGCAAGGCAGCTATACTTCATTTAAAAATTAAATAAAATTTAAAATTCAGTTCCTCAGTTGCATTAGGCACATTTCAAGTGTGCAAGAGCCACTGGCTAGTGGCTACCATATTCGTCAGTGTGGATACAGAACATTTCTATCAACACGGAAAGTTCTGTTGGATGATGCTACCCTAGACTGTGAGCCCTTGGAGAGCACACAGTACCCTGTATCTCTAGGGCAAGGGCAAGGAATTGAATTGATTGGAAAAAATAGGAACAGGATCAATGCACAGCAACCCGGGAAGGTTGAGAAGACACATCAGCCCAACACCCAAATGGACAAGCATGGAACCGCAGCTGAGTCTCTTCACAGAGACCTCCTCCCAGGTATTATGAGTTTACTGGAGCTTGTATGGGTTCAGATGGGGCTTGGACCGCTGACTACGGCAGACAGAGGGAGGATGGTAAGATTCCACCAGCCTATCCGGCAAGGCTCCTGAAAGGGCTGGGAAGAGCTCAGGCCTGTCCTTGAAGGAGCCAGCACAGCCCTGGGCTCTGGCCGACTTGGCCCGGCAGATGATATAGAGACTGTCTGAGCCCCCAGTCCACTTCCTTTAGCACCTTTTCAAAATATGAAGCACATTCTCACTGTCAAATATTGGAGTGAAAAGTGAGAAATACGGCAAAGGGCCACCACACGTTGCCCGTGTCTTCATTGGGGCAGGGGTCCTGTTTTCAGGCCTCATCTGTGCTGAGGGGCAGGGAGAGTGCCCCACGCCCTGCGGGTCCTGGGAAGGGCCTGCTGGAGGGAGCTGGGGGTGCGGGGGAGGAGGGTGAATCAAGACAGGCGGAGAGCCGCCCCACCGTGGGCATAGGTCCGGCCGGGGATGTACAGGGCCTGCAGGCACCCCATGTGTGCTGCCTGCTTCCTGGGTGCCGGGAGGGCCTCTCCTGTCCATCCATAAATGCAGCCTGTCTGGAAGCTGGGCTCCTCAGTTCCAGCCCAGCTCTGACACTAACTTGATCCATGACCTTGGCCCAGCCTGTCCCTTCTCTGATCCTCGGTTTCCCCACCGAGGGGTAAAAGGAGGGCTGGACTAGGTGTATCTCAGCGCCCTGGGCTGCGGTCAGCCGCCACCTCCCACCCCAGCCTCACTGCCGTCCCAGGGCAACTCCAGGCGGCAAGAGAACATGGCCTGGAGGTAAAGAGAGCCTGGCTGAGTAAATAAACTGCCCCAGAGTCCTATTCCTGAATTTGTGTCCCAAGCCAGCCTGCGAGGAGGCTCCGTGTCACGTCGGGCAGAATGCCCCAAGTCCCTTTCTTTGGCGGTATAAGGAGAAAGGAGGACAGAGACTCTGACACAGGTTGCAGGTGCAGGGGCTGAGGAGAAAGCTGCGGCCTCCGGAGACCCTGGTGACTAACCAAGAACGAGGAATAAATCCAGCGCCACTCACCACCTCCTCTTTGCCACGCCGCCCAGAGCCCAGGCATCCCGGCACACTGTGAGAGGTGCAGGTGGCGTCCCCTAGCCCGGGCCAGCAGAGCCCCCTCCCCAGACTTCCCTCAGCCCACCCCTCCCCCACCAGGCCCCAGTCCAGTCTGTAGACTCCAGGCTCCCAGGAGCACCTCCCCACAGGCCCCCTGCATTTGGGCGGTCAGAGCCCCCTGTGGTCTCCTGGGCCCGGATGGCCTCGCCCGGCCCCCAATCCTCTCCTATCCAGCCAAGAACCATCTTCGCACAGCATGACTCTGACTGGCGCTGATAACAGCCCACAGACCACTTCCCCTCGAACCACCCATTCAGAGCCCTTTGGGCTCCTAAGTCCTTTCGTCGCTTTCCTCTGGCAGTCCCATTAATCTAGTTTGGTTTGGATGGGCTCCATGGCTTCCCCCTCTCCTTCTCTTTGTTTGTGTGGTTCCCTGCACCTGAGGCCGTGGCCACCCTCTGAGATACTGTCCACCCTATGGGTTTATCTCAAATTCCACCTCTTCCAAGAAGCCCTCCCTGATGCCTGCTCCTGACTGAGATTTCTCCCCCCAGTGGCCCACTGTCTGTGGCTTGCTGGGGCACCCGGTTGGATGGTCAGCTGTACACTTGTCCGTCTTCTTATCCAGTATGGAATCCCTAGAGGGCAGAGCCAGAGCCTCATTCACACACAGAGCCCAGCATAGCCCTGGGGTACAGCAGGCACTTATCAAACACTGAGATGAACTGAAGAAAGATGCTCCTGGGATGGGGTGGGGGCAGGTGGTGACCAGTGCCCTGGCCTGGCACCAAGGGAAAGGGACAGCTGAGAAAATCCAAGACCCACACACAACTACAGTAGGATTCAAGAGCCCACACAGGCACAGTTCATGGACTTTAGAGTCACAAAGACGTGGGTTCGAATCTTGCCTCTGTTACTTACTTACTGTGCGACCTCGGGCAGGGTACAGAACCTGCCTGGGCCTCAGTTTCTTCATCTACAATACTGGGGTGGGTTGTGACACCTACTCACAAAGAGTCTTTGCAAGCATTACATGAGATAATGGATATATGGTACCTGCTCAGTACATTAACTCTTAGAATAACGTGTAAACTCCCTAAGTCACCTTCCGAGTAATTATAAAAGTGAACAACGTCATAGTTCGCATCTCTTATCTCCTTAGAAGTAGAGATTCTTATTATCCCCATTTTACAAACGAGGAAACAGGCTCAGGGAAGTGAACGCCCTCGTACAGGGTGTTTAGCCAGGGTGAGGGTGATGGTCAGCACTGGCTCTGGGGAGACAGCACTGAGAGGAGTAGTGGGCAGCTCACTCCCTGTAAGCTGCCACTGCAATGACCTGAGGCCAGTGCACTGGGTCACCTTTGGCCAACGTTCTGCCCCAGGGCTCAGGTTTCAGCTGACCCTGGGTAGATCCTGACTCCCTGCCCGGGTAGGCCTGGAGTCACATGAGTGGCCAATCCCAGGGCCTGGCCCAGGGCTGCTGCCAAGCCTGCTCCATGCCTTTGTTCCATCTGATCTGCCTGAGATAAAGCAGGGTCAGCAACGGAAGAAAGGGTGGAAGTGATGGGGGCTGGGAATGGGTGATGCAACCGCAGGCCACTGGCATATGAGAAATGGAAGGTGTTGGATGCAGCAAACTCTCATGACAGGGCTGCTGCAGGCTGATGTGGCCTCTTCATATGAATTAGAGAAAAGTGCCTTCTCTGGGTGAATAAAGCCCCATACCAAGCTTTGGAGAGTAAAGTATGGGTTGGATTTTGCCCCCTGCCTCCTCATTGGGCAGTGAACAACATATACAAATATCCAGGGCAGCCCTGCTTATGAAGTGCCACTGCAGGGCCAAGCTCTGAGCCGGGTAATAGGATATGGACATGACTCAGACACTGCACTATCTTCTGAGAACCTCACAAGGAAGCTGAGGTGCTAGGAGAACACAGGGAAGGAGCACCTAACTCTCTTGGGGGGAGGCTTAGAGGCCCTGAGGCAGGCTGAAGGGAGAAGGCGGTGATATGCTGGCTCTTGGGAAAAAACAAACAGACAGACAAACAAACAAACAAACAAAAAGGTTGGATTTGTAGTGTTTGCCAATTTCCATAGTGTAACTACTCTCACTAGGAGTGACTTCAAGGTACCAGCGTGCCATCACTCAAGTGGAATTGAGAAGGGATGTGTACAGTCAGCTCCAGCATGCTGGTTCAAGCTGGCTCTAGAACCACTAGGAGAAAGAGAGGCTTCAACTGAATCCGGAAGGAAGAGGAGGATTTCTCTAGGCAGAGAAGGGGTAGGGGCAGGGGATGACATTCCAGGGGGAGAGAAAAGCAAGAGCTAAGACATGGAGGCGTGAAAGTAAGTAGGGAGCAAACTGTAAAGAGTTTTGAAGGTTTATGATTGCGGTGGGGGGGACCCTCAAAGTCTTCTGGAGGCTGGTGATGCTTTAGTTCTTGGCCGAGGTTACCTGCCTATTATGACTCATTAAGCTGTGCATTTAACTTCTATGCACTTTTCTCTCTGTTTGTAGTATTTTTCAATAAGGATAAGAAAGTAGAGATAATCTCATTCAGGGACAACCAGTGTTTACAATTTTGTTATAGTTCCACCCCATCTTTTTCCTATATACATATGTATATGACCATTCAGCAAACGTTTTCATGTAGGGGAAAAAACGCCCAAGTTCCCTATCCATAAACCATAAAGAAGAAAGCATTTTAGCACTGGAAGCAACACGGTGTACTGGAGGGAGTGTGGGCTTTAAAGTCAGAGACCTGCATTCAAATCCTGCTTCCGAAAGTGCTCACTTGGCGGCCCTGAGAAAGCTGCTTGCCTTCAGATTCTCTGAGCTGTTTTCTCTTCTGCAAACTGAGACTGATAACACCCATATCCTGCAGAGTTGCTGGGAAGATCAGAGATGATGTGTATAAGGTGCACAGCACAGAGCCTGCCCCCCAGGACACCGTCGACACATGCAACATACAAGATACTCTTATTAGCATTGTCTTAGAAAGTTGGAACTGAAAGAGTCGCCCTGAAAATAAATGACTGAACCACAGAAGGTATAGAGGAATGATAACCCTGTAAGGATAAAGGCAAACTAGAATTTGCCCAGTGAGTAACCTTCATGGTAAGAAGACCCAAAAGCCCATTGAGTGTGTGTGTGTTGGGGGGGGTGACTCATGAAAATGGGGATGTTTAGCCTAGTGAGGAAGATTCCAATGGTTTATAAAACCTGTGCACCAGATGTGTCCGGTGTGCAGCAGAGAACAGAGTTAAACTCAACAAACAGCACTTATAGGGAGCTGATTTCTATTGGATATAAGGAAGGATATTCTCACTGAGAATGAAAGGGGTTATCTCGGTAAGGAGTGAGCTCCCCATCGCTAGGGGGTATCCAAGCAGAAGGTGGAGGAGCACTTGGCGGGAATGATGAAGAAGGAAGGTGAGCATGGTGGAGGGTGTGGACTGGACAACCTTGGAGGTCCCTTAAAGTTGGGCTCTGGTGCTTTTATAAGCAGCAGCATCTGCTCTGTCCAGCAGCATCTAGTCCATACGGCAGCAAGCGGGAAAGTACAGAATGGCGAGCATCAAGTGAAGGACACAAGGAGACCTTCCCCCATCTTACCTGGTTATCGATCTTCAGTTCCACCAGAGAAGTGTTGTATGGAAGAGCTTCCACCAGGCGCAGGATCCCGGCTCCGGAAATGAAGTTGGACTCCACGTTCAGTGTCTTCAACACCTTGTTCACCTTGAGCATCTCAGCAAGGGCCTTGAACCAAAGGAGAAAATGCAGGGTACCCATGAGTTAGCCTGATCAAGGCTGGAGCCCCTGTGGGTAGAACCTAAAACACTGAGGGAGCCTTGCTGGGAGTGAGAGTCCCTTGCACACCGTCAGGGGCCAGGCAAGACAATCTCCACAACTTCCTTCACCAAGCACTACTCTGTCTCTCCTCCCCTCCAACTTGCCATGGCCCCGAACCCCTAGCTGGAGATTTACAGCTCCTTCGCCTGCATCCAAAGCCTCTATTACCTGGTTCTCCCACTCTGATCAGCCTCAACTCTGGCTGCCAGTCTTGGTGGGGCTACTCTCCGTTCCCCGGGCACACAGTGCTTTCCCTCTGCTCTGCCTTTGCTCATCCTGTCCCTGCCACCTGGAATGCTCTTTCCTTTCTGCTTCACTCATTCAAACCCTGTCCCTCCTTTAAGGCCATTCTCAGTGCCCCTTTCTCCAAGAGCCTTTGCTGATGCCCCTCAGCTAGCTGTGCCTGCCCTCTTGAACCTCACAGACTTTATCCATAACCTCCCTCAAGGAACTTGTATTCCTGCGTTTAGAGTTGTTTTTATTCTGGCGTTGGTTCCGCCATTAGCCTATGTACTCTTGGTGGGCTGATGGTCACCTTATTCATCCCATGGTGCCCTCCAACCCACACAGTGTCCAGCACATAGTAGGTCCTCGGTCACTGTTCACTGAGTGACTAGTGGAGTCCCAACCTCCCTATATGCTCTCCACTTGTCTCTTCTATGTCCCTGTTGTAATTCCATGGAGTCGCCATTCTCTCTGAGCAGCAGAGAGGGGAGCCTGGGAAGCCATCCCGCTGGGCAAGTGGCCGGGCAAACCGGAGGGGAGGAGCTCGGGTGGCCCCAGCACGTTTTGGAGGACTTCAGCCAGGGGCGCAGATGATAATCAGAGCCTCTAAAGGAAATGAGGTGATTAGCAGGTGATAGAAATGACGTGTCACAGAGGAAAGGAGACACCAGCAGCTGATGGGCCAGGATGTATGATCAGTGGGCCCTGGTTGTCTGAAATGATGATCTGATCCAGGAATGCCCTTCCCACTGGCCCTGCTTGCTGAAACCTTTGCGAGGCTCAGCTCCCAGGATGCCCTCTGAGACAAAATCCTCAGCTCCCCCTGCTTCCGTGTACCCCAGGATGACATGTCAGCTTCCTCTGTGACCCTGAGTAGGTTGGACCCTCCTGAGGGGAGGGACTGAGTCTGTGCCCGCTCCACAGCACCCTTCTTACTCCCCAGGAAAGGCCTGGCCTGATAATCGAAAAATTTAACAACCAGTATGTCAGTGCACCAGGCCAATCCAAGTAGACACACTAGTGGCTGAGCTGGTCCTGGAGGCACTGTCATGCCAGGTGTCAACTCTTTGTTTGCTGGATCAGAGTGGAGGAACGGGCAGGAGAAGAGCTGGGGCAGGCAGTGGGGGCACTAGCAGAGCTCTGGAAGCCTGTTTACCAATTGTTCCGGAAGTATTTTCATCTTCAACAATGGGTATCCTGGTGTGAAGGGGCTGACATCAGCTGTTGGCCTGGCACAGGGTCAATTCCCCACAAACATTCGTGGAGCTGAGCTGAGTGCCAGCATGCACGGGTATAGTTTCTGATCCATGACATAGCAGTGGACAGGGCATGTGGCTTTGCCAGCTGTTTCTCTGTGGGCAAACTCAGGATCTACCAAGATGTCCTGAGGTCAGAGGACATCTATCTAGAGGTTCTCCACTGGCAGCAGTGAGAGACTATGAGCCACTTCCATCACTTCAAAGACATCAAAGGAAATGTCCTATGTATTTCAAAGATCAGAAAATAATTGATGGCTATGAATGGACTTCAAAGCAAGGAAAGTTATTAGGGATAAAGAAGGGTAGTACCCTGAGAAAACCATAATTCAAAAAGAGTCATGTACCAAAATGTTCACTGCAGCTCTATTTACAGTAGCCTGGAGATGGAAACAACCTAAGTGCCCATCATCGGATGAATGGATAAAGAAGATGTGGCACATATATACAATGAAATATTACTCAGCCATAAAAAGAAATGAAATTGAGCTATTTGTAATGAGGTGGATAGACCTAGAGTCTGTCATACAGAGTGAAGTAAGTCAGAAAGAGAGAGACAAATACCGTATGCTAACACATATATATGGAATTTAAGAAAAAAAAAATGTCATGAAGAACCTAGGGGTAAGACAGGAATAAAGACACAGACCTACTGGAGAATGGACTTGAGGATACGAGGAGGGGGAAGGGTAAGCTGTGACAAAGCGAGAGAGAGACATGGACATATATACACTACCAAACGTAAGGTAGATAGCTAGTAGGAAGCAGCCGCATAGCACAGGGAGATCAGCTCAGTGCTTTGTGACCACTTGGAGGGGTGGGATAGGGAGGGTGGGAGGGAGGGAGACGCAAGAGGGAAGAGATATGGGAACATATGTATATGTATAACTGATTCACTTTGTTATAAAGCACCACCATTGTAGAGCAATTATACTCCAATAATGATGTAAAAAAAAAAAGAAGAAGGGTAGTATATAACGATAAAGGGGTCAATTATCCAAGAAGACATAACAACCTTAATGAGTGCCTGCCTTATGACAGAGCATCAAACTATATGAGGCAAAAACTAATAGAATTGCAAAGAGAGATAGATGAATCCACTATCATAGTTGGAGACTTCAATACCCCTCTATGGATATGGACAGATCCAGCAGGCCAAAGATCAGGAAAGACATAACTGAACTCAACGACACTGTCAATCGACTAGATATAATTGATATCTATAGACTACCATCCAACAATAGCAGAAAACACATTCTTCTTGTGTGCACAGGGAACATTCACCAAGACGGACCACGTTCTGGGCTGTAAAACACATCCTAACAAATTTAAAAGAACAGAAATCATACAATGTCTGCTCTCAGACCACAGTGGAATCAAACCACAAGTGAATAACAGAAAGATAACTAGAAAATTCCCAAATACATGGAGATTAAACAATACACTTCTAAATAACACATGGGTCAAAGAAGAAATCTCAAGATAAATTAAAAAGTATTTTGAACTATGACCAAGTGGGATTTATCCCATGTATACAAGGCTGGTTCAACACTGGAAAATCAATTAATATAATTCATCACATCAACAAGCTAAAAAAGTAAAATAGTCATTTCGATAGATGATAAAAAAAGCATTTGACAACATCCAACATCCATGCATCATAAAAACTCTCAGTAAACCAGGAATAGAGAGCAATTTCCGTAAACTGATAAAGAATATCTACAAAAAAATCTACAGTTAGGGACTTCCCTGGTGGCACCGTGGTTAAGAATCCACCTGCCAATGCAGGGGACACGGGTTCGAGCCCTGGTCTTGGAAGATCCCACATGCCATGCAGCAACTAAGCCCGTGCGCCACAACTACCTAGCCTGCACTCTAAAGCCCGCGAGCCACAACTACTGAGCCCACGTGCCACAGCTACTGAAGCCCGTGCGCCTAGAGCCCGTGCTCGGCAACAAGAGAAGCCACCGCAATGAAAAGCCCATGCACCATAACGAAGAGCAGCCCCCGCTCACTGCAACTAGAGAAAGCCCTCACGCAACAACGAAGACCCAATGCAGCCGAACATAAATAATAATTAAAAAAACAAAACATAATACCATTTATATTAGCACCCCAAACAATGAAATACTTAGGTATAAAGCTAACAAAATATGTACAAGATCTATATGAGCACAACTAAAAAACTCTGATGTATGAAATAAAAAAAGAACTAAATAAATGGAGGTATATTCTATGTTCATGTACAAGAAAACTCAGTATTGTCAAGATATCAGTTCTTCCCATTTTCATATAGATTCAATGCAATCTCAATCGAAATCCCAGCAAGTTATTTCGTGGATATCAACAAACTAATTGCTACTAAATGGTTAATTACCATGCCTGGTAGGCTAATCCCTGTACCTTTTTACCTGCTATTAGTATTGTAGTAGTCACGCTGTACTGTTATCCTTTAGCTGTCTGCATGGCTGGATGGGCCATTATATTCATGAAAGTGGGAGCTATGACTGTCTTGGTCACAGTTGTATTCTCAGAGCCTAATTCACTGCTGGGCACAGAGAGACTCCATAAATATGTGTTGAATGTTTTTCTTTTTTCTAAAAACGAATTGATGGCTACTTTATAATAAGTACAATTTAATCTAATCAGCAATATCTTTAAGACATAGGTAAGAAACAAATAAAATTGGTCGTTGGGAACCATTGATGAAGACAATAATTTTTAGATATGGAGAAACTTGAGGACCAGGGAGGGGCGGACCCTTGTCTACTCATGACATGCTGAGTGGTGAGAGAGCCGGCTTTAGGGTACATTTGACTTGTTTTTAAATCTCAGCTCCACCTCTCACTTGCTGTGCAACTTTGGACAAAGCAAGTTGCCTGAGCTCCCTTTCCCTCAGGTTCTTCATCTGTAACGTGGGGAGCCCTGCACCTCTGGGATCAGGGGTGGTTATGGAGATCAACCACCGTGGAGGATAATGTACAGATGGTGCCTGGGTAATGGCTGTTCTGTCCATGTCCTCTCCTGGCTCCTAGCCCAGTGCCTTTCACCACTTCACACCACACCACACCACACCACACCACACAGGGTTCTTCGTCCGTGGCACATGGCCAGTCCTGAGGCGACAAATGTCAGCCTTCCTGTTTCTATGGCTCCCACTGTCAATGCAGCCGATCAGAAAGGTACATACAAATGCCACGGGGTCATTGCTCCGTGTCCCCACGACGCTGAACTTCTTTACATACGCGTTGTCTTTCAGGGCTTCTGCGTACGCCTTGAGGGTGGGTATGGGGATATTCTGTAGAGAGAAAGGCAAGCAGTGACCAGCAGCCCCTGTCAGGGGCGGGCAGGGCAGAGAGATGGGGCAGCAGCTCTCTCACACGTGCAACCCGATTCCCTGCAAGTCCCTGACCCAAAAGCTGAATATGGGCAAAGGGTTCCTGCTTTGCCCCAGATGGCTGAGATTGGAGGAGAGCTTTCGGGTAAACAGACTGAGAAAATCCTCCCTGAAAATTTCACACAGGGCCTGTAACTTTCCCTTTGTACATGCGGAGACCGGAGGAGGAGGAACACATCAAGGCAAAGGATGCAGAAGAGTGCTGTGGCGAGAGCTCAGGTCCGGGGGTGTGGGAGAGGGCAGGGGCTTGGCCTCCGCCCCAGCACTGGCAATGTTTCTGACTCACTGTGTGACGCTGGGGAAGTCTCTGCTCCTCTCTGGGTTTGTTTCTGGAAAACTAAGGTGTGGCATGGCCCTAGATGATCTCTAAGAGACATCCGTCCCAGGGGATCTCAGCCCTGCCACACATCAGAGGTGCCTGGGGAACTTTCACAAAGTGCTGATGCACAGGCCTTCCCCGGACCAATAAGATCAGACTCTCTGTGGGGAGAGGGCAGGGGCATTGGCATTTATTTATTTTTTAATCTGCTCAAGTGAAAACCACTGATCTAGTCCAACTGCCTCACGTGCAGAGGGGAAACTGAGGCCTGGAGAGGGCCGAGCCCTTGCCTGAGGCCTCACGGTGAAGACACAGGGCCGTGGCCGGGTTCCACTCCCCCATGCCTCCTGGTACGCACTGCCAGGGTGCACGGCTCTGAATTGTGCCAGCGTCTCCCACTGTGCACACGGCAGACAGCGGAGGCGCCCGAGAGAGAGAGCCTGGCTGTGGTTGAACTGATCTCTTATTTCAGAGTGTCACTTTAGCCCCCGTGGGAGCAGAGCATGGGAAGGCCAGGTGCAGGAGAACACTGCGGGCGCAGGTTTCTGATCTGATTGTGCCGCGGGGCTGGCAGCCACTTAAAAGAAAGTGGAGAAGAAAGGAAAGGGGAGCCGGGGAGTGAGGGGCCCACTTCTTATCTTACATCCACACCCCCCGAGAACTAATCCCTCTGGTCCCTGGGCTGAGCAGGTGGGTAGGCAGCTGGGCCTGCTTCTGAATTCCTCCTGCAGCCTGTCCAGGGTAGGACTGCCTGTCCATCCGTCCCCGCTCTGCCCTTAGTGGTCACACAGGAAAGGTCCGGAGAGATGTGCGCTGACGGCTTGGAATATGTCTTTGGACATTTGGGCTGACAGTTCCCTTCTAAGGTTGCAGAATGAGGCTGAATATGTGCATGCTACACTGGTTCAGGGCTAGGTCCCTCCCCGGGCTTGGGTTACCCCATGAACCTGGTGGGCCCCGGGCTTTTCCAGCCTCGGGATCCCATGTGGCCATATGTGTCTGACTCATGATTTTATCTCAGAGAAGCTCTCAGTGTTTTGAATAAGGTGGCGGGTTTCCAGAGCCGAAGCTGGGTTGGCCTGTGGTGAACATCTGGGTCTGATGTCAGTCCCCAAAAGAAACCAGGACCATGGGCTGTGCTGGTTTACACTATCCTCCCTCCGAAAGCTTCTGTCTCTATTCCCGATCCAGAAGCACCCAGAGTCCAAGCAGGACCCTGCTGTCTCCGCACAGCCAGGCCCGGGTCGTCTGGGTCTGGGTGGCACTAGACATGGCTTCCCCACCTCCCCGCAACAGGGCAAGTGGAGTGAAAGGGGTTAACCTCACCCGGATGTTGTTGAGGTTGACCTCTTCAAGTTTGGGGTCGTTGCTCTTTATCCGCTCCAGCGTTTCATCCAAGTCTGTTGCATTTGGCTCTTCATCAGGCACAGGCTTGTATTGTGTAGGTTTGATCACACCTAGAGTGACCGACAACAGGCAGGTGGCTCACAGAGATGGGGCGTCACTCACCCTCGACATAAGGACACCGGAACGAAGCGGCAGCAGAGCTCAGGGACATGGAAGGCTGGGCATCTCAGGGGCCATGGGGGATGGGGGCAGGCAATGGGCGGGGCCAGGAGTCTGGGCCCTACTTGGACTCTGCCTCTGCTGTCCTGCAACAACTGGGTGAATTCGCTAAACTGTCTGAACCTCGGTGTCCTCATCTGTAGAATGTGAATGAGTCGTTCTACCCAGTGGGCTCTTGTGAGGGTAAAATGAAGCCTGGATGGGAAAGAAATGTGTAGGCCTTCCAGAGGGAGGGATAATTGCGCGTTGGGTGCCCTCGTTTCTCTTTGGGGCCAAAATGCCAGCTTGGAACAATGCAGCGGAGCAATTCAGACAATGCAATATTGGCACAGGAAAGGACAAGGAGACTCGTGGAGCAGGAGAGGCATCCGGAGACAGACCCAAGTGGACACGTGGACATTTATGATCAAGGTGGAGTTCCAAACCAGAGGTGAAAGGATGAACTTTACACAGAGTGGTGTTGGGACAACAGGATATTGATTTAAAAAAATGAAAGTTCAATCTCATCTCACACCACACACAGACATGAACTCTAGGAGGATTAAGAAGTTGAATATAAGAAGTAAACCTCTAAGACTTACAGAAGAAAATACAGGAGGATGTTTCGTTAATACTGGGAGGGGGAGGGTCTTTGTAAATACGTCACAAAATCCCAGGAGAGTAAAAGGAAAAAGTGGATAGATTTGGCTTTATAGAATTCGAAATCTTCTGCAGTGAGCCAGAGAGCGGGCAGAGGCAGCAAGACGTGGGAGGACCCCTCACTTCCAAGGTGCCCTCGCTGGGGGCAGGGAGGGGTGCCCGTACTCACTGTTGAGTCCCTCCTTGTTCACGATGGAGCTGCTGCCCAAGGCCTGGTAGTACTGCTGGTTGCTCATGAGCGTGTGCATGCCCAGGATAGCTGCGGGGACACGAAGGGCCCATGACGCGCCTCTCAGACAGAGAGCCTTCTGGGCACGGACATTCCATGCCCCAGGAAGTTTTGCTCACAGAAATGGCAAGAAACACTTGCATGTAAACTTTTAAATTTTATTTGGTTTTTACTCTTGCCTCTATTGACGTGACTATCGAATCTCCATCCCCAGCCTAGGTTCCTCTGTCCCTGGACTCAGATTCCTAGATGGCCCTCTGATGTCCCACTGGCACGTCCAACCCAACTTGGCCAAAATGGAACTCCTCTCTCCCGACAACAGCCTCTTCCTTTGGCTCACATTCCATCTGGTCATCCTGCCTGTCCCTCGGGGTAGACCCTCAGTCACATGGCACCCCTTCCCCTAAATCCTCACCCTCCTATACAGAGCCTCTCATCTGTCCCACCTCGCACTCCATCACCTCTGTCCTGGTTAAGGCCCTATCAGTTCTCGCCTGTATTATTATCACAGCTGTGCAATCACTGGTACTCTGGCCTCAGTCTCTTCCTATCTTCCCCCACCAGCATTCAGCACAGAGCAGCCAGAAAGATCTCTCTGGAAAGGCAAACCTAACCACATCCCCCCGTGATCAGTCATTCTTTGATCCATTCATTTGTTTGATATTTACCAAGTGCCAGCATCATGTGTCCAGCTCCAGGGGGGTGGGGACGGTGAGGAACAAGAAAGACAGGGGCTCTGCCATGTAGGTTACAGTCTGCTGGGAATGAGGAACTAAGCAGGTACCCACACAATCAAAAATGTAAGTGCTAAGTGTTGTAAAGAAAAAGTTCAGTGTGTTCTGGGAGAAGAAAACAGAGAAACTTGGGATGAGAGAGATGAATATAGATGTTGGCCAAGTTAAGAGAAAGGAGGTAGAACATTCTGGGCAGAGGGATGGTGGGTGGGAAGCCCTAGGCTTGGGGAGTGGAAGGCCAGGGAAGGAGGGGGAAGCTGAAGATGGATAGAGATGAAGTTGGACATGTGGCAGAGGTCAACAGGTCCTCACCAAATGCTTATGTCGGGCTAGAGAGTACACTGTACATCAGTGACACTCAGTCTGGTTGTGCGTCGGAATCACTGGGACTCTTTTGAAACTCCTGATGCCCACGACTCCCCCAGACCAATTAAACCACAATCCCTGAGCTGGGGCCAGGCATCTGCCTTTTTTAAAGCTCCCCAGGTGGTTTCACCGGGCAGCTGAGGTTGAGAACACTGCCTAATGCCATCCCCCTTAATCTTCACAACAACCCTTTGGAGTAGATTTTATTCAAATAGGCAAGGCCACATCCTACAGGGTCTTCTAGGTCCAGGTAAGGAGCTCAAATGTCTTTTTCTAGGCGTGGCCTGAGCAGGGAGTGAGATGGTCTGACTCAAGTTCTGTGACTGTTATCAGGCTGAATGTGGAGCACTGACTAGAGGGGAGGGATGGGCATGCAGGACCATGAGGCTGGTGCAGCATCCGCCTGGGAGGACGGTGCCTTGTGACTCCAGAGTCTGGCTTCACTGGCCCTCCCCGGGGCTGGCCCTGCTTCAATAGCCTTGTCCCTCGCCCACGCCCTTTCTGCTCCGACAACACAAATGGTCACTGCTCAGCAGATGCTCCTGCTTCTGCCAATGCTGCCTGTCTGCTGGCAATCCTCTCTCCATCTGCACTGCCCACTGCTGAAATGACCCCCGGAAGAGTTTTGAGATTTAGCAAATAAAAATACAGGATACCCAGTTAAACTGTAATTTCAGATAAACAATGAAAAATGTTCTAGTATAAGTACATCCCATTCAGTATTTGAGACCTTCTTATATTAGAAACTTATTCATCATTTATCTGAAATTCAGATCCAACTGAGCATACTATATTTGATCTAACAACTCTACCTCCCCATCCTTTAAGTTTGGAATAATGCTTCCTCCCCCAGGGAGTCCTCCTGGATTACACCTTCTCTCTCTGTAGCTTTCTCACAGCACCTGGTGTCCTTATCACAGTATATAGTCAACACAGTGTTAGAGCTTTCTGGGTACATGCATGCTTCCCCTACTGGACTGTGGGCTTCCGGAGGTCAGGGAAGAATATTATCTCTCTTCTACCTCTTCCAGAAGATGGTATTTGGTAAACATTTGCTCATTTAAAAAAATTCCCCTGGCCATTTCATTAGACACGATTTCTAGTTAGAGAGACAACAGCGAGCCTTTAGTGAAGACTCAAAAGAACCAAGTTCCAGCCCTGACTCTGCCCCTGATGCTGTGTGACCTTGGGTAAGTCCCCTCCCCTCTCTGGGCTTTAGCCTCCTCTGTACAATGAGGGGTGAGACCAGACCATTGGTTCTCAATCATGGCTGCATATACAAATTACCCGCGAGCTTTACGACAATACCAGTGCTCCTCCTGAACAAACTGATTCGAATCTCTGGAGATGTATTTTTAATCTCCTTGGATGATTTTTGATGCTTAGTGGGAGCTACAAACCACAAGACAAGATGATCTCAAAGTACCTTCTGTTTCTCACATTCTAAGAGTCTTCTCTGCTAAAATTAGACTTGCCTGCTCATCGCTAAGGAGAACTGGTAAGGAGAGAGGCATCTGCACTGTTTTGAGCTCTCTGGGCTTTAATTTAGGCTGCGTTTCTGTGGGCGGAGGGAGCTGAAGCCTGCGTCAGCAGCAGGTGAATCAGATCACCTGGAGTCACCTTCTCTTCCAGCTCCCATATAGAGAGCGGCTTTGGTGGTGGTTCTGGGATGCTGCTGGGATTCTAGGTTTGGAAAAACAGTTTGGAAAGGTTGCTGGAATCGTAGGAAAGATGTAACCTCATATGGCTGGCTGGTCTTGCTTAGAGTGTATAGAGAGGTGGAAAATGGAAAATGCATTTTGTGCTTGGACAATAGCTTCTTGTAATGGTCCAGAAAGAGAGGGCAGAGGCAGGAAGGTTACAAGGAAGTGCTGGGGGACAGAGGAAGGAGACTTGGGCTCCAGTCTGGGCCTTGGTACTAATTTGCTGGGTAACCCTGTCCAGGTCACTTCTACTTTTGGGTCCTCGGTGTTCTCACCTGTAAAATGGACTATGTTTGAAGGATGATCTCTTACCTTCACATGGGACTTAATAGCCACATGGCAATTTCTCATCTTCTTACGCTGTTTGATTTTTACAGCAAGGATCCAGGGCAGTTACTGTCGGTCCCCACTTTTCCAGCAGGCTCAAGAGGGAAATGGTTGGTCAAAGACCGTTCGATGAGGACCCTCCTGGCTTCTAAGTTAGTGTCCCCACCCACACCTCTACACACTAGGTCACCAACAGGTTCTAAAACTTGTCCTCAACTTCAGAATTCTAAGGACAGATAACAATATATTCTAGGAGGTAATGTATATCAATAGGAGCCCTAAGAAAAATAAAATGACTTTGCAGTTCAGAGGAGATTAGAGTTCTAAGAAGGAAGGAGGGAAGGAGGGAGGGAAGGAGGGAGGGAAGGAGGGAGGGAAGGAGGAAGGGGAGAGGCCAAGCTAAATCTCCACTGCTGAGCAGAATGCTTGGTGGCTCTGAAGCCAGTATTTCCTCTCCCACCCTAAGCACCAAATCATGACTTTATCCTTGTTTGGTTTTGCACATTCCATGTCACCAGGAGTGAGTGACAGAGAAAAAGCGCACATCAACATTGCTTGTTGCTTCATTCTTTTTTCAAAAAATAAATTTATTTATTTCTATTTATTTATTTTTGGCTGCATTGGGTCTTCGTTGCTGCATGCGGGCTTTCTCTAGTTGTGGTGAGCGGGGGCTACTCTTCGTTGTGGTGCGTTGGTTTCTCATTGCAGTGGCTTCTCTTGTGGAGCACGGGCTCTAGGCACGCGGGCTTCAGTAGTTGTGGCACATGGGCTCAGTATCTGTGGCGCACGGGCTTAGTTGCTCCGCGGCACGTAGGATCTTCCCGGACCAGGGCTCGAACCCTCTTCCACTGGGATGCATCTCCCCGCCTAGTTCACCTCTACTCTTCCTCCTTTCGTCTCAGCTTCAGTCCCCACTCTCATCTTGCAGCCCCACCTCCTCACTCGGCCCTTTCTCCCTCCGACACTCACTCCCACTTGTCCTTCCACGTTGGCCTCAGTGTTTGTTTAACCTCGGCTCCTCGAGGGCAGGAACCGGGCCGCTTTCTTACGATTGGTCCAGAGCAATCGGAGGCTTAGTTAATGGAAATGCTCTGCCTGGGAGCTGAGTTGTGGGGAGCAGAGATGACCTGAAGACCCTGTGCCCAGCGCATCCTCCTCTTCT